TTTGCAACATTAGCTGTATTATTACATACATTAGTGTTCTAATGTATTTCGCACCAGTTCCTTGTAGCTCAACAAAATCGAAATAATTAACAGACAATATTTTCAGCTATAGGAAGGATAATAAAGTTGTTGGCCATGATGGAAGTAAATTCGAAGCTATGTCTTCAATTCACTCGATTAGTGACTCAGTAGCTCCCTCTTCTGTTGACTGATTGTGGACATTAATCAAAATGTACTTACTCGACGTATATTGCTGGTCTTATTGTGAGCGATTCATGGTGGATGTTTCTCCAAAGAAAAAAAATTCCTTTGTATTCTTTACACAATTGAAAAGAACGTCATATGAAACAGCTGTCCATTTTCTTTTGACATCACCTAAATGGCTAGTAAATAAATTTAACCTTTAGGCATAAAATGACCATAGGCTATGTTCTCTTTTTCCAGAACATGTCCTGGCCAGGATTCTAGCACACGTACAGGTGCATCTCAATAAATTAGAATGTCGTGGAAAAGTTGATTAGCTGATTGGCATGTCACTATATTCTAATTCGCTGAGATAGTGAATTGGTGGGTTTTTGTTAAATGTGAGCCAAAATCATCACAATTAAAAGAACCAAAGACTTATACTTCGGTCTGTGTGCATTGAATTTATTTAATACATGAGTTTCACAATTTGAGTTGAATTACTGAAATAAATGAACTTTTCCACGACATTCTAATTTATTGAGATGCACCTGTACATCACGGAGACGTCTATTTGACGTCCGCATCCTACATCTGGAAGACATGTATTTTTAAAGTGTTTGCTCATCTGCAATAGGTCTATAGGACGTTTCCTATAGACGCATCAGATGTCAAATAGACGTCTATTAGATGTCTTTAAGATATTTATGATTTAGAATGTAAAACTAAAACTGACATCTTACAGACGTCTGTCAGATGTTTGTTCACAGCAGATGCTTTCCAGATCAATCGATCTTTAACAGACATCTTGCAGACGTGGGTGTGCTATCTGAGAAATTGCCTAAAAATGTCCTGGTTTTGGCTTTGTTTTCCTATATGACGTACAGTTCTCATACACTAGCTATTATTATATGTGCATGGGATACAGCTACGTCCGGAAACAACAATAAAGTATATTTGCTACCTATTAGATTGTGTTTTATTAACGTCTACACCTACCCCAACCCTAAACCTAACCTTACAATAATGCAGATAGCCTACAGTAATTAATTGTTGTTCACCGTGACAAAAATGATGCAATATTGATGTGCACATGTCCAGTAGGACAATCTGGCCGTATCTGGTCGATTATTTAATGCCTTCATGCTATTGGTCAAACTACATTTTAGTCATACCTCCAGCAAGTATAAAAACAAGAGACAAACGATCTCAATTTAAAAATGTCGTCCAGACATATCTGGGGAAAAGAGGACATTGTCACCCACCTACATAAAGCTGTTTAGGTATTGTTTTTAGCAAATCAACATTCGTGCTGGCTCCATTCAGGTATCTTTATTCCCCCCACAAATCTAATTGTTTTCTTCTACTATTTTCCATATTGAATATCCTGTTCCGGCAAATTGAGAACTGTGCAAAACCACTTTAAATCAAAAAATGAATTAGTTCCACAAAGCTCAAACAGACAAAGCTACAAAGAGTTTAATTTGACGGTTTGCTTCCTTCTGCAGAGTAAAAAAGAGATTTTGGATCTCAAAAAATTTCAGAAAGCAGAGAACCGAAAGAGGGAGAGAAATGACAAGTACTGACCTTGAGCGCTGCACGAACTCACATTCAAATTATAGTTTACCCAAAAATGTAAACTGTCAACAATTACTCACCTTTAAACTCTAAATGTATGACTGTATATATATTCTGCAGAGCACAAAATAATTCTGAATGTTGGTAACCAAACCACTTTGAGTGACACATTGTGGACGCTGGGCTGTTGGTGCTCACAGGTACTTTACTTTGTAAGTGAGTAATCACATGATGAGATTTTCTCCTTAACGCGATTCTTTCATTAAGCTGCAGGGGGCCCCAAAGCACACAATAATGACTCATTCATATGCGTTCGCCGATATTTCTTTCCTAGTGAGAAACTTTCAGATCACTGCCATAGGATTTCTGCCAACTCTCATATATTCAGTAACATAGCTGATGTGTGTAAGTACCCAATGTCCTTCACCCCGCAATGCAATGGAGGTGGTGTTGTTGTGCGTTAAAGGCACAGGATATGCAGAAAAAAAGTCCAGGATTTTGTGTCATTATTCAGTCATACATTTGCTTTGTGGTTTGCATCAGCATAAAGGATGTCAATTACACATACTAAACTCCAAGACATCATCTGAATCACTGGATGCAGCCCGCTCTCGCTTCAGGACTACAACAATTAAGGTCCCGAAAGTGTGAAGGCAAGATCGTTAACGCCATTAGCTACTGTCCTCATTGATAAGTGACTTGAGGCTCGTTCTACTTTTAAGTGTTTCTGTACAAACTTAAAAAGAAAGGTTATTTATAGGCATCAATGGTTCACCGGTGAACCTTTACCATCCATAGAACCTTTTCATTCCACAAAAGGTTCTTTACAGTAGAAAAAGGATCTTTAGATTATTAAAATGTTCTTCACACTAAGAAAAATGGTTCTTTTAAGAACTGTTCACTGAAAGGTTCTTTGGGGAACCAAAACTGGTTCTTCTATGGCATCGCTGTGAAAAGCCCCTTTTGGAACCTTTATTTTTAAGAGTGTAGCTTGATTGGTAGAGCTCAGCAAAGGGTTTGACTGATAAAAGTATCTACCAAATGAACATTCGCAGCCAGTTCTTTCTATTTATTTGTTATATTTGAAATACATATGCTTCAATGGATCCATAACAGGATAAATTTTGGTATGTGTTATTCACAGATTTCACATGATTTCATAGTGTAGTTCTTTCTAAAATACACCAGGGGAAGGACATAGATTTTAATCCAACCTATAACTGCTCATTGCAGTTTTTCATAAGATCCAATGTTTTATTAATTCTACTGGCATACAGGTAACAATTAACGGATCATTATGGAAGGACTTTGACCACTTTTCTCATTTTATAGTTCATTTTTGAGCAATGCAGAATTGTTTATTCAGGACAATAGAGTACACAGAGTTCTTCTGACATGTAATAAGACTCAGCAACAAGCAGGTAACTCCACTGGGAGAATAATAAACAAATATTGACATTTAAAGCTTATGTAGATAAACACATAAAGATTGCTTGCAATGACTGAGTCTTGGATTTCTTTTATCTTTGTTCACCTTACAGGTCAAGTTAAATGTCAATATGATAACAGAACAGCACTTTGCATTAAAAGCATTTGTGTTGAGAATGAGAAGGAAGAGGATTTGAATCTGATCTGAAAAATCACACATCCACGCACACACACACACAAACATTTTTATAGAAACTATGTATGTATGTATTCATGTATGCCACATGAAGTAACAGAGAACACATGCCGTGATTAAGCTAAACCCTTTTATTTTACATGTTTTTTTTTTTGAAGACATTTGCTGGAGTTTGTGGCCACAGATACAAGTCAAGTGCTAAAGCTCATGCGCTAATAGTGTTCATAGAGTGCAAGCACAGTCCTAATAACATTGCAGTGAGACTCAATACAGGTCAGCTAAATAAGCAGAGTATCAAACTTAAACCATTAGACACCCAATAAAAAGATAAACTATGTTGCTGTTTAACGGAATAAGAGGGATAGTCAGAGCCAACAGGTTGAAGTTGTGCTTTGGGTGACCTGAGTTTGAATCCTGGTTTGTGGTCTTTCTGATCTTGTCCACCTGTCTCTTTTCCAACTTCCAAATAAAGTTCTATTTGGTGTTGGAACTGACATGTTTAGTTGTATACTGCTGTCTTAAGTCTCTGACAAAAAAATAAATGGCGAGACCCCAGTTACATTCCACCACTGAAAGGCAAAAATAGAGAAATTTGAGACTTTGACAGCTAAATGATCCACACATGCTGACTGCAGCTTTTGGGCTGAGTTTGACTGCATAATGTTGCTAACTGGAGACAGTCCAAGCTGAATCTGATTCTGACAACTATGAAAAGCAACAAAGTTAGTGACACCTCAAAAAGACAGACTAGGAAGTGCCCTGATGTTTTTGATGTCAGCAAGCAAGTTTCACCACAGACTGTTAGTAAGATTCCACTTCAGCAGCTTTGAGCAGATGCATTGACACACCAAAATGGCTCGAACACTGTCACTAAACTAAACACTGAAACTAAACTAAACCAAACTATATAGCCTACACATTTGGAACATAAGGTACTGTGAGGTCTAGAAGTGTGAGACCACTAGTTAATTTTTTTTTCCTTTTTGCATTTCTTAATAGCATTTTTGCATTTCAATCTATTTTATAAGCCTAATAATTTGAGTGAAAAGTGAAAATGAAAAATTAATATGATTTTCTAATGATCGGTTTTATTATTTGGTTTGTCAATTTGCTTTAATGACATCAACATTTGAGCTTGCATGAACTCCACAAGTTTGTATAGAACTCGATATGATGTGATCCAGTATAAATTGAAATGATCCAAAGAGATAACAGTTTTGGCAAATCTTGATTTTTTACCATTTGCTTGGTGCAAAAATGTATGATTTCTAGAAAAAAATAGTAAGCATAAAGATCCACCCGTAAACCTAACCATCAGTGGGCCCTAAGCAGATAATATGAAAACGTACAAACAAGATCATACAAATTCACCACCGATTTGCCAAAACGGCTTTTGAAAAACAGTCAAACGATCAATGTCACTAATTTACTAATTTGAATTGACACTTAGAAATAAAGCAGCAATTCAAGTATTTCATATTAATGTTAATCACGTCTTTTATAAAATTTTCTTAAATCCTAAAACTGTCCATTGATTTTAAAGGTTTTAATGAGAGTTTAAATCCTAGATTTTCAGTGTAGTTTCAGACTGTCAGACCCCACTGCATAATGAATACACATAATAGACACGACTAACACATAATTGATCTGCCCTTTCAGCAAGCGATAGGTCACATTCGATCCACCCCCAGTTCTCTGATTTTCTTGCAGCACCTGAGCTTTCCAAATCCTTGATAGTGCTCAACAAATTTCCAGTCCTTTTCTCTGAATGCTACGAGTCTGCTTTTGTCCGTATCTTTATCTCTTGATATGTAACCTCATTATGACCACCATGCTTTGGCATCGTACATCAAGGTAAACTTTTTCTTTGTACAATCAGTCTCCTTTCAAATCAGACATTCGTCTAAAGTGGAGGCTGACAGCCAAAACAGCACAGTATCTCCTTAAAGGTCTTCCTCATTTCCAGACTGCGGCAGGCGTAGATGAGTGGGTCAATCACAGAGTTGCACATAATGAGGACCAGGTACGTGGTGAAGTGAGACATGTAGCAGAGGCAGAGCGGATGGTGTGGACAGGACACCAGCAGAATGAGGTGGAGGAAAAATGGTGCCCAGCAGCACACAAACACGCCGAGGAGGATGGAGATGGTCACGGCTCCCTTCATACCGCTGCGTTGACGTGGGGTCGGGTTGCTGGTGGCTGCTGGGGGTAATGCTGCGATTCTCTTTACGTGAAGTCTGGCGAGAAGAAACATGTGTACGTAGAGAGTGGCCATGAGCACCAGCATGGCAAAGAACATTGTGATCAGACAAACAATCACGGACTTGCTCTCTGAGTACACTATGAAGACGATCCCACAAACCACACACACCAACCAGATCGCAGCGATGGCCACCAGCGCTCTGCGTACGGTCACTATGCTGTGGTAGCGTAAGGCGTAGAAAATCGTGACGTAGCGGTCGATGGCAATCGCCAAGAGGTTGCAGATTGATGCCACGAGAGAAATACAGATCATTGAATCAAACACATTGTCCATCAAACGCACAAAATGGTCATTGGCCACCAAAAGGCGACTGCTTAGTACGGCAATGACAATGGTCTCCAAAGAGTTCGAAACACTCACCAACATGTCCGCGGCAGCCAGGCTGCACAGGAAGAAATACATCGGAGAGTGAAGGTTCTTGTTTTTGACAACGGCCAAGATGACGAGGATGTTCTCCAGAAGACTCACAATACCCAAGGTGAGAAAAACCGCCGCCTGGATCTGAACCTGCTCGCACAGCGCCCCTGCTGGAGGATAAATGGTGCTGCCATTAGGAGGCAAAGACGTGCTGTTTGCAGGTTTCTGCCCTTCAAGAAACTGCAGGTATGAGTCGTTCATCAGGATTTTTTAAGATAAATAGATGGGGAAGAACATATAGCAGATAAGGGATGGAAATTACAGAGGAAACAAAAAAAATTAAAGCAGAAACAATTATAGAGTAAAAAAATGATTCAGATAATGGAATAAATAGAAATAGAGGAATCTGAAAGCTGCAGGTGTAGTTAACAAATGTTGCAGTTCTACAGATGTTGGTTTAAAAAATCCTCTGCTGCTCTTCTGTTTGTTGGAGATGCTTCTGTAGAGATGCTGTGTGATTCAGAGGCTCAGAGCAAACAGATTCTCTCTCACAGCCACTGGCTGTACGTCAGCACATGCAGCCTCCGCCTGCTCTTTGCTCAAGATTTTAAATGAAAGATGTGGGTATGTACACACAAAGACACACAAATTCATAGTGCATGGCAACAGGCAGGAGTGTGCTTTTTTTATCCAAATTAATAAGTAATTTATTTAAAGGTCCCATATTGTCAAAACTGAAATTTCCTGGCTTTTTTCACGATTACTGAGGTCTAGGGGTTATTTAACTACCATATAAGTTTCAAAACAGTCAGTCCACAGTAAAATGCACACAGCCTGCTTAA